CATGGCAAGTAAAACACATTGGTAGATGATGATCTTGTAGTTCTACCCTGAACCCTGAACATATACGTAAAATCATTCAAATTTTGTGGAGCTAAATTATTAAGTATCTTGTACATAAAATCTACTTGATTGTATAAGATTCTTTTGTGAAAAGGTAACCAATTTAGTTTTTGAACATATCACAGTAAGGTGTGGAAAAATCACATTTTAGAATAATTCTTGATGCTCTCTTTTGTAGGCGTTCTAATTTTACAATATTATTTTTTGAACTGTTACCCCAAACAGTTGAGCAATAATTCAGATGTGGGTTAACAAAGCTATTAAAAGAAGTCATACCAGATGACTGGCTTTAAAAGGGTCTCAACTTTTTCATCTGAAAAATTTGACATGATATCTTTTAACAGACATTTGTAAACTGAATGTTCCAAGAGAGACAATCATCTATGGACAATCCCAAAAGTTTTTCACATTTTGCATTTTCAATGTTTACATTGTTAACAACAACAGACAATTCTTCTGTTAATTTACTTTTTTTTTGTGAAGTAGTAACAAGCATGACTTTTGTTTTTTCTGTGTTTACACACATTTCGTTTTCACTGCACCATTTTGACACTAATTTTACGCTTGTAATGTATCAGATTTATTTTTGCTGCTGCTAGTCTGCATTTGGAAAGTATTATGTAGTGTGTTCTTGATTATCTAAAATGCTGAATAAACGATCTGTGGTTTTTTGCTGATACTTAATTATGTTACGTTCTTTCCATATTGTCCATTTGATTCTGATTATTAATGTGTTGATAATTGTACGTAAGACATCTACAGGGTCAGATGTATCAATTATTTTGTAAAGTCACAGGGATAAAATACAAATGACACTTACCATTAGACCGGTTTATTTGTTGGAGTTTTGTTCTGTGTATATAATTCTGTGTAAGCATTTCTATTGGAACTCTTCTTTCAAATTCCTTTTTGAAAATGAATTTCCCATTTTTCTTCTGATTTAGGTTTTGCATTTGGTGTCAATATTCTTTGGAATGTGTACTCTTTCAATTGCCTGAGTTTTGTTGTGGAAAATGTACTATCTTTTAAATATCCTAAACTTAAATCCTCGTTTGATTAAATCTGTTTTGATTTTTTGGCTGTTTGTATTTGGTGTTTAATTATTAAGAGAAATCTCTGAGGGATTGCTTTTTTTATTTTAGTGAATTTAGCTATCCCGTGTTGTTTGTGGGTCAGTTTAATTAACAATGAAATACTATCTATGAATGTATTATGTGTACTGTTCCATATGTCCTTAATTTTGTATATTCCACTTTTTGCAAAAGACAGTAAAGTAAGGGGTTTTCTGTTAAACTGTATGTTAATATTGCCAAGTAATTTCTGGTTAAGAATTTGTGACAGTGTGAGATTTGGCATATTAGCTTGTAGTTTGGCCCAGGCGAATAAAGCATTGAGATTTGATTATCAATATTTGTTATGGTAAATACCGATACTTTGTCTGTTTTCGTATCATACCGAACACCTTATTATATTACGCAATTATTAAAGTAATGTGCATCAGAAATAACTCGTAAATATGTTTTCTGCAAAAGTAATGTTTCCTCTAGAGAACTTCTTAAGGTTGAGATTGTGTTATAGATAGATATATGCAAATTTGTAAAAACAATAAAATAATCTGAATAGTAAATCTATTATACATTTAATTATTTCTCCGCAACGAAGTTAGGGGGGGGGGGGGTATACTGGAATCAGAATACCACCTGAAGTTGTTCATACAAAGTTATGGCCCTTTGTTAAGAAATCCCTGTCCGGACATGTCCTCCAAAATTAAGGAGTCAATTTCAACGAATTTTCATATATGTCCAGGTATTTGTTTGTCAATCTGGCCCTTATTTTACGGATTAATAATAATAATGTAATATACAGCATTTGACATTGACTCCTCCAAAACTATGGGGCAAATTTCAAGAGAGGTTTACAGATATGGTAACTGCCCCCTGGTATTGTGCATCCTAGTAGTGTGTTTTCATTCCGACCCTTTTAAAAGAAGATATGGCCCTTTGTTGAAATAAACCTTTGTCTGCTTCATAAACCACTTGGCCAATTTCAATTAAACTCTACAGATATGGTCATTACACCCCTGATGTTGTGCATCAGGGAAGTATGTTTTCATTTAACCATTTAAAGGAGTTATGACCCTTTATTAAAACTTTTTGCCTTGACAACTCTGCATTAACTACTTGGACGATTAAAGCAAAACGGTTTCATCTGGGCTAACCAGATTTGGTATGCAATAACGTTTTAATAAGGGGAGGAGTACAGGAAGTATGTCACTTACCTATATGCTTAAATAACTACTGCTGGGAGATTGTGTATTGTTTTGCAGTGCTTTGTCTTAGTTAGCCTTCAGCTTACGGTTCTGGATTATATAGGAGCGGGCGTAATTAGTTAACCGTTGGCTTGCAGTTCTAGTTATTATTTTATTTTGCCTATTGCATTTTCATTAAACAAAATATGAAGAACTATTACATCATTTCAAAACGCTAACTCTAAACAAATAAATCAAGGAAAGATATCCTTGTCTGCTCCCTATACACATAATTTATTTTAGCAAATTTGACTTGTGTGACTTTGAACGAACGTCAAGGTCATCAACGTTTACAAAACTTAAATCCATTAACATGCACAACCTACTTGCCAAATATCAAGACCAAAGGACCTTTGTTTAAGAAGAAACACAAGTTAACGGAAAAGAGAAAAGAAAAATATGTTATCTTTTTTTGGATCAAAAGTGTTATATGACAAATTTACCGGTTGTCTTTTTTTTCGAAATTCCTAAAGTTGAAAGATAGTATTGGTAGCCAAATTTTAAGCAGGTATGAAAAATAGAGTCGTTTTAGAAACCATGTAAATAAACGTGTCAAAATGGAGATTTTTTTCATTAGTAATGAAATTTAATATACTTTTTTGCTTAAATCTTTAATAAAAAAGAGCAATTCTTTCTTGAAATAGTGTAATATTCGGTATCAAAATAGCAGTTGGATTATGTCAAACATTGCACACGATGATGATATAATTCTATAGTAATTGTGCCATGTAAATGCTCTAGGAGGATTTGTAATACCGCACCTTTAGTACTCACACAGGTGTTAGTCAATGAGATCCCATTTGTCATAGAATGAATTCTGAAACTAACTGTTCCTGATATAAGCTCCCTATACCCATACCTTTTTTGATTTATCTTGTTTTAAAATTCCAAGCTGGGGCAAACGCTCATGTTAAATCTCCATAGGCGTTGACTTTACCTTTAAATTGGAATTAGGGAAGCCTCTATGTATTTCCCCAGCTAACAAGTAGAAGCTTGATTCAAACTTATTGGGGTGATTTTCCCAGTGTTTGTTTAACCTGGTCATAAAAGAAACAGGGATGGGGCATTTACCACTTGATCAGATAGGTCATTCCGGTTATTTACAATTCTTGACTTGAACGAGTGGCCACGCAGATTACTTCTACACCTTATTTTCTAGTTTCTAGTTGTTCTTGTTTTTATTCTTTATTTCTTTATTTTTACAAAGTCATCTTTGATGTTTTCTATCGTATTTATTAACGTGAAAGCTTTCACCATGTATTACCTCCTGTACTCCATAGTGGGTAATCCAAGAGCCTTAAGTCTTTCAGGATAGGAAAGGTCTTTGATACCAGGGACCAGTTTAGTGACTTTCAATGGATCTTTTATCCTTTTTAAGCATGGGTGCCCAGACTACAACAGAGGTATCTAGATATAGTCTTACAAGAGACTTATACACAATGTAGGGTTATGTGTCTATAGTCATACCTACATCCCTTTCACTATTAACAGATTATAGTTTGTGTACTTCCCCCTGTTTGATGATGTTGTATGAAGTATCATATTTCCTTGATGTAATTTTAGATGCTTACACTTATCAGCGTTTACCTCCATCATTCACGTTCTCGTCAAGTTGTTTAAACGATGTAGATCATCTTTTAGATATTGCCCCTGTTCTCCTGGATCCATTGCACGATATATCTTTGTATTTACTGCAAACATTTTGGTCAGGTTGCGTAGAGGAGAAAAAAGACTGACCCCAGCACACTACTCTGGGGGACTCCACTTATGACTTGACATGTGCTTGATTCACATCCGTTGATAACAACTTTTGCTCCATATCATTCAAGAAGTCTTTAATCTAACCCAATATGTCCCCGTTGATGCCCATCCGCCGCTTACTTTTTGTAATAGTATGGGGTACTTTGTCAAAGGCTTTTTTGTTATCCAAATAAATGACATCCACTTGCTTGTTTTAGTAAATAGCTTCTATCCAGTCGTCAAAAGATTTTAATAGTTGCGTGGTGCAAGACTTGCAACTTCTAAAACCGTGTTGCTTCATGGTGAAAAGGTTGTTGTTGTCCATGTGTTCCACTATTTCGTCTCTCATAATCGCTGGAGCAGTTTACCCACAATTGAGGTTATGCTTATGGGTCTATAGTTTCCTGTATCTTTCTTGTTCCCCTTTTTTAAAAATTGATGTGACATTTGTTTGTTTCCAGGATTCAAACATGTATTTTAAAGGGCCCTTTAATTGGTCTGCAGTCTCCTTTAGGAATTCGGGATGTTTGTTGTTAAGACCAGTAGCTTTGTTTGCTTTCAATTTGCCAAAATAGTTTTGACTATCTTTTTCCTCCGTGATCGCAATGCTACTTATTTTGCTTTTGGGGAGTGATTTTAACCGTCCTGTCTAGCATATTCACAGAACATGGGGTGCGTTAAGCGGGTTTGTGTAACGTTTGTGTTTAGTTTGGTTGCGTTAGGTATTGATAATGTATCTGGGACGCTTGTTTCCACAGAAAGTGGAGCTATGGAAGGCGTTATTGTTCCGTCACAGAATGGAGACGTGTATTCTAAATTTAAACTTTCTCCGCTCGATTGCATTTAAATACCCTCAATAAAACTCTCACAATGTAAAGAGAACGTGTTGAAACTTAACAAACTGAACAGTATACCGACAGTATGGGCACAGGTATGTGTGTACAGAGGACATGCTGAGTGGTCGTGGTGTAAAAGCTACACACGAACAAAATTTGACCTGCCAAAGCGACGAATTGTGAAATTTTACATTTCAAACGATTTTAACCGTCTCGTCTAGCCTATTCACAGAACATGGGGTACGTTAAGCGGGTTTGTTTAACGTTTGTGTTTAGTTTGGTTGCGTTAGGTATTGATAATGTATCCGGGACGCTTGTTTCCACAGAAAGTGGAGCTATGGAAGGCGTTATTGTTCCGTCACAGAATGGAGACGTTTATCAATTCAGAAAGATACCTTACGCCAAACCACCTATCGGTCTCTTCCGGTTTAGAAAACCCATGAAGATACCTCCGTGGAATAACACGCTTAACGCTACGAAGTACGGACCAGCATGCATTCAAGCAATGGAACGGGGTTCTGATTTCTTTCCTGTGTCGGAGGACTGCCTCTTTCTGAATGTTTTTGTTCCAAATGAGATTTCGACGACAGCAAATAAATCGGTGATGATTTGGATTCATGGTGGGGTTTTCAGATTTGGTACAGGGATGTCGTACGACGGATCATTCCTATCACTCCAAGGTGACGTCATCGTGGTGACGCTGAACTACAGACTAGGTGTGTTTGGATTCTTCAGTACAGGAGATTCAAGCGCGAGAGGCAACTACGGACTTTGGGATCAGATCGAAGCTCTGAAATGGATTAAAACCAACATCAAGTACTTTGGTGGAAATCCAGAGTCAATCACATTGTTTGGTGAATCAGCTGGTGCTCTCAGTATTTCCCATTTAGCCATATTCCCAGAAAACGAAGGACTTTTCCATCGAGTTATTATGCAGAGTGGTTCATTGAGTTCGAATAGACCTATAACAAATGATTCTGTGAAACTCGCACGAGCTTTGGGAGGCCTGTTGCAATGTAGTGATATTCAAAGTACCGAATCGCTTGTCTCCTGTTTGCGTGGAAAAGAGGCGTCCGTTTTGAATAGCGTCTCAAATTCACAGTCTTTTCCGTTAATTGGGAAATATTTTGGATATGCAATGTCATATGCCCCGGTCATCGACGGAGAAATGACAACAAGCCATCCTTTCTCTCTTCTTCAAAATCGATCTTCCGAACAGTTCAAATTTTACCAGTCGCTTGACGTCATTTGTGGTTGCACCTCAGCCGAAGGATCTTTATTTCTGGGCTTCTTTCCGTTGTTTCCGAGTCTGTCCTTGCCGCCTGTTAATGTATCTGAAGGAGTTCCAAGCTGGGTTCTCAAACTGTTGGCTGAGGCGGCGACCGAAGTTTATTTCAACAATGACACTAGAATTCTGCCACATATCTATAACAAATACATCTCGACAGATATAGAAGAACAAGGGCGACTTCTTGTGAATTTTTTTAGTGACTCGAGATTTAATGTGCCCATGTTGGAATCACTGTTAGTTCATGACAGAGGCGGAAATTCCAAAGCAAATACATTTCAATATTTCTTCTCAAAGACCTCCCTGGTTGATGTTTTGATCGGTGTTCCGCCGAAATGGTTCGTTGGAGCAGGACACGGCGCTGAACTTCCATACCTTTTTAATTCTGGGTATGATATGTACGGTCCTGACAACGTTCTTTCAACACAAATGGCGTCATACTGGACAAATTTTGCAAAACATGGGTAAGTGAAAGATTTGATAATTTATGTTAAATAACGTTTATAGTATAAGATGTAAACAGTTTTGATACTGTACAACGAACAACGAATCTAGAAGACTCGTACGCACGTGCATTGGCGATAACTGTAGTTGTATGCTTTCATATTATATTTTGCGCAGTTTTACAATGTCGTGTAACAAAATATTACAGACACTAAAAAGTGTAACGAATGCGGTCTAACTCCTTTGTAACAGATCTGGTAAATGACACTTGGATAAAAGACTGGGAATTTTGCCTGGCCAGTGCCGGACACAGAAATTATTACATGTGTAGGTGATAGTATAAATAGGACCGGGTAACAGGGTACAGGGTACTAGAATCAGGTACATGTGCCCTGGGCCACGAGCAAACGTCCAGGTAGATGAATCGGGCGGCTGTGTTTACCTGTGTTTCGGATCGGTGCCCGACTTGTGTCAAATACTATTTTGTTTTAATTGAAAAAGGTTGTTCAAGAAAAGAAAAAAAAACAATATCTTAATTGAAAAAATGTACGCATACACAAACCTGTATATCAATCAAAATGATGCTACATGTAATATATTTTTAATGAAGTTTATATTGGTTTAAAAAGCGAAAGCGTTATTTTATTTTTCAGCCTATTTTAAACTTTCAACAACGACACTTGCTATCGTATATCGTTCATCCTTTAGTCGCCAAGTTATTTTATCGTTTGCATCTTTTGCGCAAATATTGATTTTTACATTATCGCTTAAGTTGCTAAATTGATTTAACGTTGTGCACAAACGTCTGTTAAATTTATCTAACATTATCAATTTATCCATTAATTCGATCTTACACTTTCATCATAGCTATATCCCTTAAATTGATCTTACACATTCTATATATCCGTCTAAATTATATTGCCGGGTGGTGCAGTGGATAGTGCACTTGCCTTTCACCAAGGCGGCCGGGGTTCGATACCCCGATCGGACGTGGAAAGGTATGGTGTCACCTGCCCGACCACGTGGGTTTTCTCCGAGTACCTCGGTTTCTTCTCACACAAACACACACGCACACTCTCCCCGCTAACATTCAGGCCAACAAGAGTGATTAATGTGAGTTATATTAACTTGTTTCATAATTGTTGTAAAATAAATAAAGTTTATATCATATATCAGTTAAGCTGATTTTAAATTATTGATATATCAGTTAAGCTGATCTGACAGTGTTTATATATCTGTTGTTTGATCTTACATCATTTATATATCGGTTGTTTGATCTTACATTACCTTTATATCTGTTGTTTGATCTAACATTATCTATATATCTGTTGTTTGGTCTTACATTATCTATATATCTGTTGTTTGATCTGATATTATTTATATATCTGTTGTTTGATCTTACATTACTGATATATCAGTTGAGCTGATCAGATATTATTTATATATCTGTTGTTTGATCTTACATATATGTATATCTTACATTATCTAAACATCTGTTGTTTGACCTTACATTATTTATCTATATATGTTTTTGAGCTTACATTATTTATATATCTGTGTTTGATCTAACATTATATATATGTTTTTGAGCTTACATTATTGATATATCTGTTGTTTGATCTTACATTATCTATATATCTGTTGTTTGATCTTACATTATTTATATATCTGTTGTTTGACCTTACATTATTTATCTATATATGTTTTTGATCTTACATTATTTATATATCTGTTGTTTGATCTTACATTATTTATATATCTGTTGTTTGACCTTACATTATTTATATATCTATGTTTTTGATCTTACATTATTTATATATCTGTTGTTTGATCTTACATTATTTATATATCTGTTGTTTGACCTTACATTATTTATATATATATGTTTTTGATCTTACATTATTTATATATCTGTTGTTTGATCTTACATTATTTATATATCTGTTGTTTGATCTTACATTATCTATATATCTGTTGTTTGATCTTACATTATTTATATATCTGTTGTTTGACCTTACATTATTTATATATCTGTTTTTTTATCTTACATTATTGATATATCAGTTAAGCTGGTCTTACATTATTTATATATCTGTTTCACTAATCCTTTACCATATATATATCCGTTATATGAACATAACATTATCTATCTTACTGTTACATTTACTAACACCGTCTTTATAACTGTTATACTGGTGTTTCAGCGGACAATGCAAGATCTAAAACAAACAGTTTTGATATATTTCTCGAAGACTATCTCCTCTAGTAATCGTTTCTAAGGAAGCACCGACATTTTAGTCTGTACCTACTTTGTAAGGAGTATAGGTCTCGCTGGGTATAAAAAGTGCATTACATTTCAAATCAGTTACATTGTATCATTCTACAACTGACCGTCTTGCGACTCAATGCACCACTGACCCTGATCGGCAACCGATATCAAAAATCACCGCGCACCTTGATCAGCAACCGATATCAAACATCAAACGCACTCAGATGAATTCTTTGAAACACCGCGAAGCTGGTTGTTACTTATGACACATTCTCGGAAGCTATGTATCCAAAATAAAAGACATGTCACTTAACATATTCTCATCAATCAAACACAACTTTAACGTGCCTAGAACCGAACCCACACACGGTTGCGTTATTATGAACTCTTAGTATTCGTCTTTAAGACGCTTTAGTTTCAAAACACGTGCAGAATGCGACAGGCCGCGGGTTGTAGTCAACGATGTGCAATATGGTTATGTTACTGTTCCCTTTAGGATTGAACGTCTGTCATAAAGACAATATGAATGCAATCTGGGTGACAGATAAATAGAATGACGTCCGTTAGGACATGTGACCAGATAATGCAGACTGCAGTTACTGTCCAGTAACTGCAGGCTGACTTTCTATAGAGTTAATGAAGAATGGGAGGGGCATATGTAAATATATGTACATAATTAGAATTAGAATTGTTTTTATACAGGTTGTTTATCTACACAATGAATAACGTACATGTAGGCATCAGCTTTAGGGGTATACTTACATGTATTTAATTCAGGGAAGAGATAAATGGTATCTCAGATATCTTTGATTTTCAACTTTTCACTTATCTTTAAAAAAAAGGGGGGGGGGGTGTACAAAGAGATATCGCGGGTTGCTATGCCTATTTCCCCAAAGCTATGTTACGCTAGTGTGCGCACCAAACGTGCACTGTTATGACGCGTCCTCAGGAATTTTTATACAGGTAGCAATACAGACCACATATTTCGTATTTCGGCATTATTTGTTGTATTCAAGTTTTACTAAATATGAAAATAAGTAGCTCACAGGGGTCAGTAATTGGTGCTTAACAACTAAATATGAAAATAAGTAGCTCACAGTGGTCAGTAATTGGTGCTAAACAACTAAATAGGCAGAACGTGTGCCAAAAGCTGGATGTTGTAATGACATATTTATGTCCTTCATGATGGTTTGGTGAGTTTGAATTGAGCTCATTCCCTCCAAGTGTTAAATATATACTAACTTAAAACCTCATTATAAATATCCTAAAGAACGGTATTTATAAAGTGAATAAATCCTTGTTGCACGATCAGTCTTTAAATCAACTTTGGCTGATGTTCTTAGTCAGCATGAGTGCCAAATATAATAAACAAATTTCACGAAGCATGCTAATTGTTTGCGATCTCTAAGTTTTGGATTTATCGTTTCCATTTGACATTCATACTGTTCATGTAACCAATTGAAAACAATTAAATACGTCGTATTCAGAATACGGATTCTCTACTGATTCGACCGGGCTTAAGATTTGTAAGTCATGTTATAGAGGGACATGCATACTTCTGGTAAACACCGATGATGTCACAACTGTTCCAAGAACAAGTAAAACGCCGAAGGGTAGTAAACAACTGGATGTCTAAAGAGTAGATACCAGTCAGTCAATCTCTTTTACGAAGGATGTGATACTTTAGCCATTCTCGTAAAAAACAGACCATTTTACACTTCAACGATGTTGGCTTATTACTGATTTTGCATCATTGTCGTGAATCGGCAGATCGTATGCAAATATGCCACCATACAGCAAATATATTAAGATATTAAGTCGTATGTGGACAACTTGATGTCATAAATATGCTACCACATAACACATCATTAAGTTGTAGGTCGGTAACTCGATGTCAGAAATATGTCACCGTATACCACCTCATAAAGTTGTAAGTCGGCAACTCGATGTCAGAAATATGCCACCATATAACACTTCAATAAGTCCTGGGTCGGCAACTCGATGGCAGAAATATGCCACCATATACCACATCATTAAGTTGTAAGTCGGCAACTCGATGTAAGAAATATGCCACCATATACCACATCATTAATTCGTTGGTCGGCAACTTGATGTCAGAAGTATGTCACCATATACCACATCATTAAGTTGTAAATCGGCAACTCGATGTCAGAAATATGTCACCATATACCACATCATTAATTCGTTGGTCGGCAACTTGATGTCAGAAGTATGTCGCCATATACCACATCATTAAGTTGTAAATCGGCAACAACTCGATGTCAGAAATATGCCACCATATAACACATCATTAAGTCGTTCCTCGGCACATCGATGTCAGAAGTATGTCACCATAGACCACATCATTAATTCGTTGGTCGGCAACTCGATGTCAGAAATATGTCGCCTTATCCCACATCATTAATTCGTTGGTCGGCAACTCGATGTCAGATATATGCCACCATATACCACATCATTAATTCGTTGGTCGGCAACTCGATGTCAGAAGTATGTCACCATATACCACATCATTAATTCATTGGTCGGCAACTCGATGTCAGATATATGCCACCATATACCACATCATTAATTCGTTGGTCGGTCACTCGATGTCAGAAATATGTCACCATATACCACATCATTAATTCGTAGGTCGGCACCTCGATGTCAGAAATATGCCAAAAAATCGGGCTGATTTTTTGGAAAATGATAGGTTAACTTCTCGCTTTGTTTGGCATAATTAGGTGGTAAATCGATGTCAAATCAGAACATTAACACAATGAAAGGCCGAAATATTTACTGACGTGATAATTATCTTGTCAAATGTATGTCGGTAAAGTACAAAATATGTCGACATAATTAAAAGGTTATTGCAACATATTCAGAGATAATGTCGACTTCTTCTCAGATTATGTCGACAACTTTAAAAAGATATGTTGACATAGGTAACTCTAATGTCGAAAGTCGATTTCAGAAATATGCCACCATATAACACATCATTAAGTCGTAGGTCGGCAACTTGATGGCAGAAATATGCCATCATATACCACATCATTAAGTTGTAAGTCAGCAACTCGATGTCAGGAATATGTCACCATAGCCCACATCATTAAGTTTTAAGTCGGCAACTCGATATCAGAAATATGTCCCCATAGACCACATCATTAGGTTGTAAGTCGGCAACTCGATATCAGAAATATGTCCCCACAGCCCATATCATTAAGTTCTAAGTCGGCAACTCGATATCAGAAATATGTCCCCACAGCCCATATCATTAAGTTCTAAGTCGGCAACTCGATATCAGAAATATGTCCCCATATACCACATCATTTAGTTGTAAGTCGGCATCTCGATGGCAGATATATGTCACCATATACCCCATCATTAAGTTGTACCTCGGCAACTCGATGTAAGAAATATGCCACCATACAACACATCATTAAGTTGGAAGTCGGCAACTCGATATCAGAAATATGTCACAATATACCACATCATTTAGTTGTAAGTCGGCAACTCTATGTCAGAAATATGTCATATAACACTTCAATAAGTCCTGGGTCGGCAACTCGATGGCAGAAATATGCCATCATATACCTCATCATTAAGTTGTACCTCGGCAACTCGATGTAAGAAATATGCCACCATACAACACATCATTAAGTCGGAGGTCGGCAACTTGATGGCAGAACTATGCCATCATATACCCCATCATTAAGTTGTATGTCGGCAACTCGATATCAGAAATATGTCACAATATACCACATCATTAAGTTTTAAGTCGGCAACTCGATTTCAGAAATATGCCACCATATACCACATCATTAAGTCGTAGGTCGGCAACTTGATGGCAGATTTATGCCATCATATACCACATCATTAAGTTGTAAGTCGGCAACTCGATGTCAGAAATATGCCACCATATACCACATCATTAAGTCGTAGGTTGGCAACTTGATGGCAGATATATGCCATCATATACCACATCATTAAGTTGTATGTCGGCAACTCGATGCCAGAAATATGCCACCATCCATATAACACTTCAATAAGTCGTGGGTCGGCAACTCGATGGCAGAAATATGCCCCCATATTCCACATCATTAAGTCGTAGGTTGGCAACTTGAGGGTCGGCAACTCGATGGCAGAAATATGCCCCCATATTCCACATCATTAAGTCGTAGGTTGACAACTTGATGGCAGATATATGTCACCATAGACCACATCATTAATTCGTTGGTCGGTAACTCGATGTCAGAAATATGTCGCTATAGACCACATCATTAAGTTGGAAGTCGGCAACTCGGTGTCAGAAATATGCCACCATCCATATAACACTTCAATAAGTCCTGGGTCGGCAACTCGATGGCAGAAATATGCCCCCATATCCCACATCATTAAGTCGTAGGTTGACAACTTGATGGCAGATATATGCCATCATATTCCACATCATTAAGTCGTAGGACGGCACCTCGATGTCAGAAATATGGCGCCATAGACCACATCATTTAGTTGTAAGTCAGGAACTCGATGACAGAAATATGCCACCATATACCTCATCATTAAGTCGTAGGACGGCACCTCGATGTCAGAAATATGCCAAAAAATCGGGCTGATTTTTTTGGGAAATGATGGGTTAACTTCTCGCTTTGTTTGGCATAATCAGGTGGTAAATCGATGTCAAATCAGAAACTTAACACAATGAAAGGCCGAGGTACTTACTGACGTGATAATTATCTTGTCAAATGTATGTCGGAAAAGTTCAAAATATGTCGACATAATTAAAAGGTTATTGCGACATTTTAATAGATAATGTCGACTTCTTCTCAGATTATGTCGACAACTTTAAAAAGATATGTTGACATAGGTAACTCTAAAGTCGAAAGTCGATTTCAGAAATATGCCACCATATAACACATCAATAAGTCATTGGTCGGCAACTCGATGGCAGAAATATGCCACCATATACCTCATCATTAAGTCGTAGGTCGGCAACTTGATGGCAGATATATGCCATCATATACCACATCATTAAGTTGTAAGTCGGCAACTCGATGTCAGAAATATGTCACCATATACCACATCATTAAGTTGTAAGTCGGCAACTCGATGTCAGAAATATGCCACCATATAACACATCATTAAGTCGTAGGTCGGCACCTCGATGTCAGAAATATGCCAAAAAATCGGGCTGATTTTTTTGGGAAATGATGGGTTAACTTCTCTCTTTGTTTGGCATAATTAGGTGGTAAATCGATGTCAAATCAGAAACTTAACACAATGAAAGGCCGAGGTACTTACTGACGTGATAATTATCTTGTCAAATGTATGTCGGAAAAGTTCAAAATATGTCAACATAATTAAAAGGTTATTGCGACATTTTAATAGATAATGTCGACTTCTTCTCAGATTATGTCGACAACTTTAAAAAGATATGTTGACATAGGTAACTCTAAAGTCGAAAGTCGATTTCAGAAATATGCCACCATAACCTTGCAATATAGCATACGATATATTTACAGGTTTTTTTTGTAAAAGATGACGAACGTCTAAATCACTGTCAATATGATTATACATCATCCAAATAACAGTTTAACACATTTTAATAAAGTGGAAACATCATACCTGTTAAAATGATAAAAATTTCTTTACAGGAACCCAAACATTGGACTTCCAGTCTTGGACTGGCCTGAATTTGACGAAAACACAAGACGATTTATTAACCTAGACACGGACATCACTACCGGATCTGATTTATTGGGAGACCGGATACGATTCTGGACTGATGAAATACCCCGTATCATGTCAGAAACCGAAATGGTGATTGACACAGCAATGGGACCAATCAAGGGATTTGTACAAATTGTGAAAGGTGCAACTATCAACCAATTCCGAAAGATTCCGTTTGCTAAGCCACCAACAGGTCCTTTAAGGTTTGCAAAACCTGTTTCTATTTCAAATTGGACTGACACGCTTGATGCTACACGTTTCGGACCCTCTTGTATCCAAACGATGGAGCCGGGCGCGGACACGTATTTTCCCAATCTAGATATATCAGAAGATTGTCTCTTTTTGAACGTTTATGTTCCGCATGAAATGCCAATGACAGCAAACAAGTCGGTGATGGTTTGGATTCATGGCGGGGGTTACACAAGTGGTTCAGGGATGACGTACGATGGAACGTCACTAGCAATTCATGGTGACGTCATTGTGGTGACTTTAAACTACAGACTAGGTGTGTTTGGATTCCTCAGTACGAGTGATTCCAGCGCACTAGGCAACTACGGACTCTGGGATCAGATCGAAGCTCTGAAATGGATTAAATCCAACATCAAATATTTCGGTGGAAATCCAGAGTCAATAACGTTGTTTGGTGAATCGGCTGGTGCATTCAGCATTTCACACTTGGCTATGATTCCAGAAAACAAGGGTCTTTTTCATCGAGTTATTATGCAAAGTGGCTCGTTAAGTTCCTTAGGATCCGTCACGAAGGATCCTCTCACGAAATCACGAGCATTGGGAAGCCATTTAACATGTGAAAACACTGATAATACCACGTCACTGATTTCTTGTTTACGTGGAATCGACTCGTCAGTTTTGCAAAGTGGAGCGGACGTAATATATGGGTCGATTACTTCTCTAGGAAATGTATTAGAATTGGCTTTATCACCTGTTATAGACGGGGAATTGATTTCAAGTCATCCACTCTCCCTACTTCAAAATCAATCATCGGAACAGTTTGCATTCTACCAATCACTTGACGTCATTTCCGGTTGTAATTCAGCTGAAGCATCTGTACATCTATTGCTTTTTCAGCTGTTTCCAAGTCTTTCTGCCCCTGCTGTCAATATTTCGGATGGAATTCCAAGCTGGGTTCTAAAGTTGTTCGCCCAAGTCGTGACCGAGGTATACTACAACAACGATACGAGAATTCTACAACCTATATATGACAAATACATTTCCACGAACGAAGAAGAACAAGGGCGACGTCTGGTAAATCTTGTGGGTGATATTTTATTTTATATCCCCATGTTTGAATCCCTGCTGGCGCATGACAGAGGAGGAAATTCAAAAGCCAACACTTTCCAATATTTCTTTTCGAATCAACCAGTAGTCGATCCTATAATTGGAGTTCCCCCCAAATGGTTCCAAGGAGCGGGTCATTTTGCCGAGATCAAATTTCTTTTTGATAACTGGGGTTATCTCCAAGGTGACGACAAACACCTTTCAACGGAAATAATGTCTTACTGGACAAACTTTGCACATTACGGGTAGGTTTTATAGTTTTTGTTTTAGTAAAAAGTGATCATGCTGGTTTTCTTTTGATAAAATTATACTATATTCTTTAATAATCGTCCTCAATTTTTATAACTTTTCAAATCACACGTAATTCAATATCATTACTGTTACCGTAAAGACACAATGCTATTTAAAAAAATCAGATCAAAGCTTTAAGTTGTCAACTCTGACCGTTCTATTTTTCAATCTTCAAGAAAATAAATTTTTTTTTGAGAATTGTAACTGTTCTATATTCTAATTTATTTTATTTGCCCCTTCTATTTGTTCTGTTTTAGGAACCCAAACATTGGACTTCCAGTTCCAGACTGGCCTGAATTTGACGAAAACACAAGACGATTTATTAACCTAGACACGGACATCACTACCGGAACAGATTTATTGGGAGACCGGATACGATTCTGGACTGATGAAATTCCCCGTATATTGTCAGATTCAGACAGTATCGTTACATCGCCGAAACCGATTGACGAGTTATCCAGTGCCTCTCAGCGATGTGTTAGCTATATTATGCTTTGCATATGTGTTATAATGTCTTGTTTTGGCGAATATTGCATAATTTACGACAGTTTAATGTAGAGTATACCACCATGCTGTCTGCTATTTCTCTTACGCCATTCCTGATGCCTGTTGTGTCATTAGGATTGAGGATTTAAGTGTGTCCAATATGCGGTGTATTAGTTTGGTTCCGATTATGTTGTCAGATGAGTAAAGCAAGTACAGAATTAACACGTTGTCACAGTTAACAAATATGTTAATGTAAATAACAGTGACACATCACAACATTATACGATTCTGTCAAATAATCAATTTTGCATCGCGGATGAATGTTCTCCAGAGGAAATGTACTCGTTCCTTAAAAGCATGATTCGGTTGAAGATCGGGAACTTCGATACCGAGATCATCAATACTTGACTGTAAACAAAAACAGTTATTAAAAACATTGGCCTTAGGCCTGTCATCAATAAATAAATGATTGTTGTGATGTATGGGAGGAATATTGAGCTTTGTATCAGAATTACACATAAAACGATTTACAGTTTTCTACCAATCTCTAGCACTTGGTTCATTACTTTTATGGAGGTTATTACATATTTTGTTAAAAAATGATTTTTGACGGGCGAATATCATTAGCACACATGTTACGTAAATGTCTTAATTTTGCCCAATGTTCTTCTTTCATAGCGTTTTTGGCATTTCGATGGGATCGCTTTCTATTACTTATCATCGTTCTTATTCTATTACACATTATCGCAAATGGGAATGTTCCTTTCCAAAATGGCGCCTGGTATTTCGCGAAAAAAAGTATCTTTTTCTTCCGATAGGTCCTAACCAGTTCACCTTTGATTGGTTTCTTTTACATAACACTCTTTTTTAACGCCCATGGAACATAATTCTACATCGTGCCGGTTGCTTGTTTAAAAACTGGCGCTTGGCATGTCTGCTACCTTTTACCTTGCATCGGGAAGAACTGATGATGCATGGTAGAATTATTAGCGATTCTGATTTTACAAGATTTGTGCAAATTCATGATACAATTTGTCCACATACTTTATGGAAATTAGCTTTGAAGTTCCTGGGCTCTTGAATAGGATAAATAATGTAGTAAGGTTGTGCGTAGAAATAAGAATCACCAATGTAATTGTATTGTGTCATTTTTGTGGTATTTTACACACTGACATTACTTCACATTGTCCTTCATTATATAAAAAAACACACTTAGAGACGACCGTTGGTGCCTTATAAATACTGTGTTTGATATAGAACTTCTTGCTTACTTGCACTCCATGTCGGACTAAAATTTAATTCACATACTACTTGGAGATATATTCCATTACAAGTTATGTAAATTAGATTATGACAATTTTGTATTAATTTGTGCTATTTCTGTTGATTAAATGATGAATTTGTATCATCGATAAAAATGTAATGTATCTGAGAATCAATTACCCTATTCAGAATGTGCTTATATTTGATCACAGAAGATCAATATCTTGATAATTTATGTTTCATGTTATTTTTGTACATAAGTATATCTAATTATGAATTGACCATGTATTCACTTGTATAAACGTTCTTGTAACTCTTCAAATTGGAGGAAATAAAGAAATAATAAAAGATGAGATCAGGGACTTATTAGTTGACAGGGTATTTTAACAACCTATTGATTTTGGAATAAGATATGTTCAAGCTGACTTCAATACGTTTACCATATTTATTGCTTATAAATCAACACAGATGTATCAGCTTATCAATATTTCCACTGGAAACAAGAGGGCATTCCGAAGCTCACACCAACCCAAGATAGGTGAGAGTCCAGGAAATCCAGTCTAGTATGGTCTATGCAAACGATCTTCCGGGGTAACCCTTACGTCACCTAAATATTTGCTTCTCCAAAGTTACGACGGGAATCGAACCCTGGACCATCGATCTCAATATTCTACAAAATACGATAAAATAAAATAGCCGTTCTAGGGCGGAACAAAATACGCCCGCTCAATGCCATATCGTGTTATATACACTTACATTGAAATAAGATCTGCATCATTCTAAGATTAGTTAGCTGATATGCTATAAAAAATGCAGGAGAAAATCTTCGGACAAAAATGAACAAAGTAATTACTTTAGGAAAAATTGTCGAATCACAATTCTTTTAAGGGAGAAACAACTCCATATCATGATTATAATGTATACCAAGTTTCAAATTGGTCGGTCGAAAAATGTAGGAAGAGATTGCCGGACAAACAAAGTTTACACCGGACGAACGGACGGACGGACAACGCCATACCATAATACTACCGTCATATTTGACAGTCGTATAAAATGTGTGTTTTGGTTGAAAACGGATAAACAATACAATCAAAACGAAAGCCATTAAATCAATTGTTTTATTTTTCAAAATATCACAATTTTTATTACAAAAATATCACATGTATTTCAAAACGGGGATTTGTAGTTACGATTGGCGACTTTAAAAGTCAAATATATGAATTATGTTATCAAGAGGGAAACGCCCGTCCCTTCTATCAAATTTACATATCGATGTCTCTGAATGAATATTCATGAGATGTGTAGTAATATGCAAATTATCTATATTAAAAAAATCAAATCGTTACGAAAATTTCTAAAATATGTCATCAAATAATCAAAACGGAAAAACTTTGAAGAACACAATTTTCTGTTTACAGTATACAAACGGTTAAATAAAGAAAAACGCATTTCGGCATTTAGAAACTTAAGAACACAAAATGTAGCAATGCTATTATTGACTTCTGTAGCCTGTGAAGTCACAGAAAATAAAATGACACACGTAAGTGAACTCTGACACAAAATGGGAATAGAAGTATAATGGATAGGAATAGGTTAGAGTAATACCATACACAGTTGTTATAATTATATCATACTGGTATCGTACTGTTATCAAACTCTATTATACTGGTATAGTACTGTTATCATACTTGTATTATACTGTTATCAAATTGGTGTCATACTGGTATCGTACTATGTATCAAACTTGTATCATATTGGTCTCAAATTATTATCAAACTAGTATCATACTTGTATTGTACTGTTATCATACTGGTATCATACTGTTATCATACTGACATCGTACTTGATATCGTACTGTTATCATACTGTTATCAAACTGGTATGGTATCGTGCTGTTATCAAACTGGTATGGTACTGTTATACTTTTATCATAATGGCATCGCACTGACAAACGAGTCAACAGTCTAAACATCATGTTGTGGGAAATATGTTTGGTAAGATTGTATTTCACAGCTAGGAAGCGAAAAAACAATTTGTACATACTTTTCTCACGTTAACAAGTCACAGAGTGTGCAAAATAGATTGTTACATTTGTCTTAGCCGCCAACATTAATCAGCTACCGACACGTTAACACGGTAGCCTAAAGTACAGGGATGCTAATTATACTGCGCCCACCGATCGCGAGGAACAGAACTTAACAACGAACGTTCATATCCATCTCGGAAAAATCTCATTGTAAGGATTTCTCAACTAATTTCAGCTGTCAACGCATAAAAAGTCAATTATTTTTAGGAATAGCATGATTGATTTGATTTTTATTTTCGATCTATTTATAAGTATTTGCTATTCGAGATTCCTTTAACAAAAGAAGAACCCGGTCTTACTTCAAATTACGTCTCCGCATTTTTTGTTCTGGCTAATAGATAAAGTATGGCGGTAATTCCTTCCTAATTACTGTGCCATGGTCGGCGTACCGGGACACAGTGATGACGGTACCAGTGCTGTTGATACAGGGTATGTGCTTTGGAATCGCTCTGGAGCGTCTCGCCAATCATTTACCATTTTTTTATTATCAAATAGCAGTGCTATCTAGTAAAGAAATGTGTGTAACATGGACAGTGAAAAAAACATGTATGTGGAGAAAAATGAAATCATAGAAACCAAAATATAAACATCAGAATATAAACATCAGATTAAGTCAACATAATTCACACATTGTAACGAAAACATCGTACACTCGGTACGAGCTTTGCTGCATCGAGATTAATTCAAAATATGATCTTCGACAAAGATGTTTATAAAATGAAGCATTTCAGTTACAAAAGTGTGTAAAATCTCACCTGTTTATAATGGACCCTGTTTCATACAGAACAAGTTTAAAGCTATACCCTATATTTTTCACATTATAACGTGCGACTTTAATATTAGAGTTATCTCCCTTTTAAATTTTGACCGTGTACTAATTTGAATTGCCAGATAGGAGTGATATATATAAATATATTATTGTAATTTTTCAACTTTCTGAGTCAAAATTACTATTCCCAAAATATTTTTGACGAGTTGGCAATCTTGAAAAACCTTTTGGAAAGGATATCTATAAAAACTGAAAGAAGCCAGGATTTTACAGACTGCATAATTATACTGGATCATACAGAATTCGGTTTAGACTACTGTAGAAAATTTAGCTGTGTGCTCGGTACAGTTAATTTCAACATTTGGACAAAGGATTAAAGTTTCAAATATATAAAGTATACCACTAATATTAAAACAATGCTTAAGCGCATTTCAGTGTTTCTCACACGCAGCTAATATACTTAAACCTTAGAATGAAATAAGGATTTTTAATAAGATAAACTCATTATCGGAACATCAAAACAGAAATATGAACATTTCCATATCAACACATTTACATGATGTGCATTATGAGACCCAAGCTATTAAAATTAAATATTTGTTACGTTAGAAATTAAATTGTACAATATGTATTATCAGAACAAATTTCACTCTTTCTACCACGGAGTAGCTATGTCTAGTATAATGACAGTCAAGCGCTTAACATTGCCATTTTTTACTTCGCAAACCTATTACATAAATTGTTTCACCTCTTATTGAATTTGACCGTTAAGCTTTCAGTGACATAGTCTCGTTCAACCAGACGCTTGATCACTTGAAGCTTGTGCAGACAACAAGAGTCTGGTTGAACGAGACTATCAGTGAGATGGCTAATTAGTAACGCCAACTAGTTCCTAATCTCCTAATAACTTCACATAGCATGTTAGTACATCGATTCACACAATATTTCAAAATAAACATCATAATCATTTCTATCAAAACAATCAGACATCATTTAAATCAATCGGGAACCGTCGATACTTTCCGTAAACGAGAAAATACTTTTCTAAAATATTTTCTCGTTTACGGAAAGGACCGAGGTTCCCGATTGCATTTAAATGAGTCTAACACGAAATACCGGAAGTAAATGTCGTATACTAAGCAGCAAAATGGAATGTTTGTTCCGGATGAATTAAACCCGGACGATTTGACATGCAGAACAATCAGTTATAAAAACAAACGCAAATGATTAATTTAGCTAGCTATTCTAGGGAGGGAAGATTGTTAGTTTTCATATACAACGTTAAAGGAACACATTATTTTTGATGATTGCATTTGAATATGCACATGTATCTACTGTTTAGACAATTTCTTTCCATGAACAACATATAATACAAAACAAAATCCATCAACTCCAACCCATTTTGTTATTAATCTATATTTACAGTACAGTGCTTAAATTCCGTGTCGTTTAGGCTTTTTTTATTCGCATTTTCATTAAAATACGGGATTTCTAAGCACCAGGAATTATTTCTATTTAACATCAGATCATAAATATTCATGAGACAGACCGGAACTTAATCCCCTCGAAAATGGTGCACATTGTAGCTCGCCAGTTTTAAGCACTATACAGTATGTGAATGAACTATGTGACATTGGGGATTGCGATGTGATTTTTTTCTCAAAGATCCCTTTTCACAATAAAAAGCCACGTTTTATGATTGCTGACATTTCCTGTCTGTTAACAAACTGAAAACACAAACGAAATATAAAAAATCATCTGAGCTGGTCGCGTTATAACATTCGTCAATGACGTCACGAGATCACGTTATTTTTTATGTTTAATGGAATCATGGGTACATTGTATATGGTTAAAGGCAAGCAATCCAATCAAAAACACGCATGTATGAGTTTTAATGAAGATTAAGCATGTATATGTCACCCATTTGTTTTCAAAATAAATGGAGAAAATGAAGGTCTGTTATAATAGTGAATAAAAGATCAAAAGCAGCGTACCAATGGAGTAATACGAGATGAAGTAATCATTTAGACACATATACATGTATACTTAATCTATAGGCGTAATTATGGTAAGTTTAAACAATGTTATGTAATGTAACAAATTGGCAACTGCTGTAAAAGTCAGATATCCATTCAAACACATTTATAAATCTCTCAGTTTTCTGGCCGTTCTATTAGCACTGATATAATAACTCCAGAGTAAGTATCTGTACGTATTAAGGATGACGTCATCCGAACAAGGAACCAAACTGTCAGCTGAACATAAGGGTTTTGATGAGATGCACGACAGTCCGGAAACCAATGTTTACAATGAATGTAGAACACGCGAGACATATATTTCGACCCTAATGACAGAGGTCAGCGTTTTTGTATATCCGAATTTTCCCTTCATTGTATAAAGCTAATTTCTGATGTAAAATACATTACAATGTGACCTCATTATCCATCATCCACGAAGAAAGGTATTACAGCAACGTTACGTACGGGACTTGTGACGTCAGTAATCCAACGTAAAGCATAGAAAGGGACTTGTACTGAGGAAACATGGATTTTAATGATCATTTTTAAATCGTCACAGCTCGGCCAGTGTGTTACACCGACAAGCTCAAAGGTGAAGTGAAGCTCCCGTAGTTATAATTCTCAAAATAACTTAAATATAAATAAAGTCGAATGGAATCGTAAATTTTGTTCTACTGCTGTTCACTGGTGTATATTCCTGTTCCTTCACGGTATCGCGAACTAAATATTTTGAAGCATATTTTTGTTTCTTTGTAGCTGAAGATGATGAATATTCCTCGAGGGAAAAATTAAACTTTCAAAACGAAAAGTCAATTTTAAGCAAATCAAGATGATCCAGAAACTTTAAAAAGGCCGAAATAATTTAATTTTGGTTCCCGTACTATCAGAGTTATGTTCGAGACTTTCACGTAGATTTCATCACTTTTCCTCAGATGGAACAAAGCTCCCAGATAACTGGTGAACTCTCCGAACTGTTTGTTCTGTCCGATACACTTGGTGATAGAGTTCTGAATAAGCTTCTCCTCCCCGCCGTGGGGGTAGATGATGTTGTATCGATAGATATAGTGCGACAGACTGTTAGGTGATCCCTGGTCTCGGAAATTCCCGTCGTCGAAGAGTTCCAGGAACGAGACTTGGCTGTACACGTAATACAGCCCGGTAGAGGGCACTACTAATCTCCCATGGCGGTATCGAACCTCGTTTGTGGTAAAGGCAAGATCAGCGTCATGGATCCAGGAAGAGATGGGAAACTGTGTCGCTGGTACTGTAAAGAAGAACAGAGATTGAAAAGATAAGTCAGAGAATGAAACTCACAAGATATTTGGTCAGGTCTCATACTCTAACTATTTGCTTTGTTGGTTTGTGTTTTAATTTTTATTTACATCTATGGTCATTTAAGGACGTGCTGGCTTTTGGTGGTGGATAAAAATAGAAAAACTCGGAGAAAAACCACCGACCTGCGGCCAGTACTTTGCGACTGCTCCACGTCAGTCTCGGACCCGTGACCCAGTGGTGGAGGGTTAGTGATCGTAGACGGTCGGACGCCATAATAATTCGACAAACGCGGCCCCCCACTGATTGTGGATAATAGTGTAGCGTAAAAAGTGAAAATAATCTTATTTTTACGTTATTAAATTGCAATAACCCCAATTCAAAATCGAATAAAAAAAAATAACAACCAGATACACCAACCTGTTGAATTTGACATATTTATTTTACAACAATTAGGAAACAAGTTATTAATCACTCCTGTTGGCCCGAATGTTAGCGCGCAGTGCGTTTTAGGGCACTGAGCAGTTTGATATATCGATGTGATATTCTTGCGTGATTTCAATGGGACACATTTTAAATCTCGCTGGTAACACTAAAGAAATACCATTTAGACAATTTAATTTCGGTTGCTGGTAATTTTAGATACGTTACTCAGAGAATGTAGCAATGTCGTCGGTACCACAACGATTAAGTGGAAAAATAAAAGTGGAAAGAAAACCATTTTCCGTCTTTACGGAACATGTTTTCTATATAGCCTCGAACCCTGTGCGCATAATATGAAAAGACTCTGTCTCTCCAGGTGTTAGTATAATCTATATAATTATTGCTTACTCCTGCTGAGAGGGATTCTGTTGTATCGATACAAAATCATAATTATTTATATAAAGTCCTACTGGGATCATTAGTCTGCGGTATCGTTTTCCAAATCATACAGTAGTTACCTCCCTTCCACTGTAAACTATATTAGTTCTGGGTAGTCTACTTATTACGAAATTTCTTTTTATTCCGACCCTTGTATATAATATTTAATTGCTAATGACTCGTGTGTTGTCCTGGGTTTTCGAGGGACATATCATAACGGGCACTACAGCGCACAAAACGCTTCTAATCCTAAATGAGAATACCGGTCCTGGTTATGTTCGGTGCTAGACAGTTTTCACAGGATTTTTTAATTATGTTTATTTCTTTTTGGTTTTCATGTCTGTTTTATAACTCGTTTCGATTTGTTTCTCACGTCTTTATATTTCTTTCGGGGTTTTTCACATTTTCTGTCTATAGTTTTCACATTTCTTGCCTCTTCACATTTCTAGCCTCTTCACATTTCTTGCCCCTTCACATTTCTAGCCTCTTCACATTTCTTGCCCTCACACGTTTCTAAGCCTCATTTCTAGCCTCTTCATATTTCTTGCCCCTTCACATTTCTAGCCTCTTCACATTTCTTGTTTCTAGTCTTAATGTGTTATTTTTTTTCTCGACGCTTTTGCGTCTCGTTTCTGATGAAAATTGTTTTGTGTCTTTGTGTACATTATGTCTTGTTTTATATGTATTCTTGTGTCTCTTGTCTTTTTCACGTGACTATTTTAATTCCATGGTAAGAAGTATTTATGTAAATTGAACAAATGTAATAATAAATGTCATCTAACTAACTCCCGCACCAACACCCCCAGATCCCCCGGACCAATTCCTGATATCGAGGTGGGGCACATAACATTGTTAAGATTCTTAACATGAACATTCGTTATTTCCTCCAAAATATCATGAACAGTTTTTCTGTTATTCATTTTCTGTCAGTTGTTGATTAAATTAAGAATTTAATATGTGAAGCTCACACAATCTATTATACATGTATATACAATTACATTAAATGTGTTTTAAATACGACTTAATGTTTTTTTTGGGGAAAACTGTTAAATACGTTATCAATGTTGGTTGCAAGTACAATGGCGTGAAACTGGAAATTACAATACGAACCTGGTGATTGGTCAAGCCGGTTGACTGACCCCATCAGGTGAGCGGCCGGAGTCTGCTCCATACCGCTCTGTCCGTCAGTCTTGGGCAGGTTGATGCTACCTGTAATGACAAAGACGAGAACGATATGAACATCAAGGTATGTCAGACAGGTGATATACATGTATAAGTATGAAAGCGAGAACAAAGATAAAACAGTCATTTCACACCTTTGTTATATTGATAAAGCCACACATCCAGTAACATACAGATGGTTCCGTAAAAGTACCTAGACATTGCTTCTGAAAAGGTGCAGAGCCGTTTGTGTTTGCTTGTTTGGGTTTTTAAGGACGTGCCAGGATTCGGTGGTGGAGGAAAGCCGGAGTTCCCGCAGAGCCAACTTTTTTACAAACAATATGCCTTGTATTGCCTAGCAAACAATCACGAAAAAACAAAGGCGACCCAACAGCAATGTAGAAATTGTTTACGAGATTAAGATTTTTCACAAAAAGATTGAATGGGGGACGATTTGCTGAAGTATTGTTGCACGACTGGTAATCGACCGAAATTGGCATAATTTGTCCCTAAATTGTTGTTTATCGGCCTTATCGGCCACTGACATACAGCGCACATATTATGTCACTGTATCTAGTTAAGGCCACGCGCTTCAGATCTCTTTTTTTTGTGTAAGTATATTCTAGTGCATCTACTAAATTCCTGGGGTAACGCTCCCTTACGTTCTGTGCAGAGACCGGGAGAAAGCGTAACTTCTAGACGATGACACTAGAGGTAGTCTTTTGCAATGCTGTCAAGTTGGAATTGTACAAAGAAATTGACAACAGTCATCAGTTTCCACGAACCCTTACATAATTTTGAAGACAAAATAATCAAGCAAAGTACTTGTATCAGTTGCTATGGACACAATCGCAGACCGGAAGTGGATTAAATACACTCATAAAACCGCGGATGAAGAATTCTTCGTTTAACGATCTTGTTATTTTTACATAAAATTCAATGAGGCGGTTCAAAATTCAATAAAGTGCCGACATCAAAATGCCATAAACTGCCATGCTATATACTGGCAGAAAACCTTCTTATCGGAACATGCAGGCATTGCTTGTTTTCTACCAGACAATTGCCCCAGAGTCGACATAAACGTGTAACAAAGATGATAAAACACACAAGAAAGCCTACATAAAGCGGAAGATTCCTTATCATTTTCCAACAGAAACGTTTTCCAGGAGATCATCTACGCATGCGCTTGGCGTCACGTAACGATGTATGTTTCAAACCAGGCAATTCACGTGCAACATATACCTCCATATCTTGTGGAAATGTCATGTAGTGGGCATGTGCTAATACCGACCAAAAGCACTTGCACAATGAATCCAACGTTATCGGTTACTTGGGCCTTCGTTTTAATTGATTGTTGGCAAAACGTCTAATAAATAATGGTTCTCCTGGCCGTAGATATAAACAAAGTCTATCCGAGCCTCGCACACATCGTTAACTTTATAAAAAGGAAGAACCTTCATTATCAACACGAAAACACAACATTAGACTGTGTTATCTTTCTTAGTGTTTGATGATCAAAGTAGTCTTTACTGCGCGTGCGCTGTGACCGTTGGCATGGTGTCACGTGAAGCTATAACTTGGTTATGGGGTCTCTGAAGGAATACCCGCCATTCCATTGTGTATAACATACACTAATTATCCCGATTTGACAGGGACAACCGAATTTCCTCTCCTTCTATTTAATCAGCGAAGGAAGTGTTTCATTACCGCTGTTTGGTCTTGCCTGTTGTATCATTCGTATCAGAGACTTGTGTAGTTTATTATACACAACTAATGAAGCAGTTCGGCGGTACAAAAGTGACATTTACTTTACAGTTCTAAAGGAACCCGGTCACAACAATGGGCAGAAACCGAATTTCATGTTCTCAAATAAATGTTAAGATGCAGAACAAATAGGCCTCAACACTGTCAGTACACTACAGTAGTACGATGTAATCTGCGCAATGTCGACACCAGCAAATTGTATTCTAAATTTTCCGGATTAATTGGAAGTCTCCATACAATCCACTTTCGGATTAACGTCTTCATATTACGGGTTTCATTGACAATCAAATTTTAGGGGATATTGGATTTTCAAAGGGGAATTTTGGCTGACCGAGTTTGCTTTAAAATAAACGCGTGTCTGCCACCCAGACGATGCCACCCTAATAGACACTTTACACGGCCCGCGATCAACAAACAAACAGGATATAGCCATGTTATTCGGCCGTGCCACACGATAGCCATTCGTTCTACAGCCAAAGTCTCATTTAATGTCGGATAAAAAATCCATACCTTGCGTATGTGGCGTTCTTTTCTAACAATTTATCGATTTTATTCAAACGTATGCACGAAACGGTTTAATATGTATCCAGCCACCATCAAGAATTCCGTTTTAATAGGAAATACATCGTTTAAACTAGTAACGGTCGCGCATGTGCATAATTACCGATATTCTGTCTTCGAGCGGCGAGATCAAAGGGAGTAGGCGTCTTTGATATCTGACTATGGGAAAGGTTGCATGTTATTCATTTTTACAGGTGAAGGAATCGATTAAAGAGACGTAACGATGTCATTAAGGGGGGTCTGAATCGATTTCAGTAATTAACTAAAAACTATCATTAGTCGGCTAAAGAGCGGAACATAAGGATCGTTAAATAACCGCCATTACGGTTTCTTGATATTCAGAGTGAGCCAAAGGAGTTTTTAACGCGAGCTGCTACAAAAAAATAACGGAAGTTTCGTCAACGTTGTGTTTTCCATTCCATACAAAATAATACGGGTTCATCTTCGAACGCACACATTTAATGTTTGTGTGAAATGCAAAAACAATTCTTAATTTTGTCTACTTGTTATTAAGTGTTTAGTCGACGATCATCAGACTTTGTAACAAATTTCATATAAAGTGAAGTTTAGTTTAAAAAAAACACTCTAATTGGCTGAAAAATATGTGAACAATTCTCATTACTGACTTAATATGTACAAGGATAAAGAGGGAGTGTGCATCCCTTGGTAACATGACAAAATGTCACATGTGCCCGCAAAAGTATGCACAGTGTCTGTCTCAGTAATCATTTTTCTGATCAACGAAACGTTTGTTGGCTACTAGTGACAAGTTTTCTCTGTTGAACATTTTGAAGTGTCTATTTTACGTTGATTGTTTAACAAGAGACAGGTTTGGCACTGTTGATGAGAAAGTAAATGCACTCGATATAGTAGAATAATAAACGTTCATGAGGGGGCGATATTAGATTATTATCGCTCCTGGAAAAATCAGTATTGACCGAGACGAACGCCATCTCGAATTAAAAATGAACGTGTTTTAATTCAACACAAAGCAACAGACTAAACGACGCTGAATAACCATTATAAAACCCACTCATTAATTCTCAACTGTGAATCTGGTAATTTGCACCAAACGTAAATCAAAACACTCAGATGACGTAATAAATACAAGTGTTCTATAAAATATTTAATTCTCGTTGATTCTACAGGAAATTAAAATGTTATCCTCGAGATACGGGAGTTTTTCCTCTTGATTCACATGCCTTCTGTGCAAAAAAGATATATTTACATTTGTATGAATATTGAGAACGAACTCATGGAATTTGAGGATGTCCGAAAGTGGGACTTTTGGCGTTTAACCACGGTACTCCTCGGTTTCTTTGGTACAACCAAGAAGTGTTTATAATATTCCAACTATATTGTCGTAATTTATACATAAAAAAAATACTGTGGGACGATGAGATTTTACAGACACGAATACCGAGACTTTCATTAATTCTTGATACATTGATCGCGATCAGTGGAACTCTTTGAATTGGAGGTGATTTAACTGCATCCGCTGGGGCAATAGATGAGAACAGCATGGCGACGTCACCATTCACGTAGCAATCAAAATGTGACGTCAGCATGTTGTACCACATCAATGACAAACGACATAAAACAACACTTGAACTTGATTGGTAGTGATTGTCTGACCGTGTATGGTTTGAATAACAATATCATCTGGTAATAACAATATCTGGTAATAGAACAATATCTGGTAATAACAATAACAATATCTGGTAATAGCAATATCTTGTAATAGTAATAACAATATCTGGTAATAACAATATCTGGTAATAGCAATAACAATATCTGGTATACAATATCTGGTAATAGCAATAACAATATCTGGTAATAGCAATAACAATATCTAGTTATAGCAATAGCAATATCTGGTAATAGCAATAACAATATCTGGTAATAACAATATCTGGTAATAACAATATCTTGTAATAGCAATAACAATATCTGGTAATAATAATATCTGGTAATAGCAATAACAATATCTGGTAATAATAATATCTGGTAATAACAATATCTGGTAATAGCAAAAGCAATATCTGGTAATAACAATATTTGGTAATAGCAATAACAATATCTGGTAATAGCAATAGCAATATCTGGTAATAGCAATATCTGGTTATAGCAATAACAATATCTGGTAATAACAATAACTGGTAATAATAACAATACCTGGTAATAACAAATAGCAATAACAATATCTGGTTATAGCAATAACAATCTCTGGTAATAGCAAAAGCAATACCTGGTAATAACAATATCTGTAATAACACTATCTGGTACTAGCAATAACAATACCTGGTAATAACAAGACCTGGTAATAATAACAACATCTGGTAATACCAATACCTGGTAATAATAACAATTCCTGGTAATAATAACAATACCTGGTAATAGCAAAAGCAATATCGGGTAATAAAAATATTTGGTAATAGCAATAGAAATATCTGGTTATAGCAATAACAATCTCTGGTAATAGCAAAAGCAATATCAGGTAATAACAATATCTGGTTATAACAATACCTGGTAATATCAATAACAATATCTGGTAATAGTACTAATTATATCTGGGAATAACGATATTTGGTAATAGCAATAACAATCTCTGGTAATATCAATAACAATATCTGGTAATAGAAAAAGCAATATCTAGTAATAACAATATTTGGTAATAGGAATAGCAATATCTGGTTATAGCAATACCAATATCTGGTAATAAC